TCAGCCATTTCATCCATGAGTCAATCTCACTTTCGAAAGTCTCGGTTTCGAAAAAATTGGTTTAAAATTTGTGCTTATATTGAACAGATCTCTTTCTATTAATTAAATTTGAGCTAACACTGCCAAATTTGTATCTCTTAGAAATCCAGGGGTAGTTTTTTCTCAGCTAGTTTTTAGTACCTAGCCCCACACGCATAAAAAAAAACATTTCTACCAATGTCTACCAGCCCCCTTCGAATAAAATTAAGAGGAGGGGGGGGGGGGGGGGGGCTTGTTAATTATTTTCACAAAATTTTTTCTTCATTTTGATTATTTTTGCTGACTAAGTTTTGTCATTTTCGACTCAGCGTAAGTTTCTATACTCATTCAGCGAGAGATAAAAATTATACGTACTCAAGTAGAATGATTAGAATGATTATACCAGGGTAAATTTGGTAAATTTTCTTTTTGCAGTTTTTGTTGAGTCTGCCAAAAAAAACTTTCAGATTTGCTGCCTATGTTAGTGTTTTATAAACTAGCCAATTTTAAGACTTAAGAAATTTTCGTGATCAATTACAGTAGCAAACTTTGGTTCAGATAAACTTCAAAAAGTTTTGATTTTATCAAACAGGATCTTAATAACAGCATTTGAAAAAATTCAATGAGTTGAAATCAACATTAAATTACTTTTTGTTCGAAATGTTTTTAGTTCAGGAATATTTACGCTTGGTGTTGTTTTTTTTTTTCAGTCATTTTTTTGGTGATCGAATTAATAGTTTTAACAAAAAAACATACCCTATAAAAATTTTGCTCTGGGAGTTTGAAAGTAACCAATTTCCAATTTGGTTATGCTCTGGACTAAATTATGCGCGCTTTGAAAATTTTTTTCATAATGCTGAAAGCCTAACGCGAAATATTTATTAAGCCATCTAGTAAGGTCCTTATAACACCTTGCTAGATGAGAAACTTATCATTTTCACTTGAAACAGCTTGTGGGGAAACTTAGCTAAGTGTTATTATGTATCTTCAAACATTTTATTGAAAACATACCAAAAAAAATTCAAATTTTTTACGGCCAGTCCGAGAATTTCCCGGCGTTACCTGATTCAAGCAGTCTGTTTTGAATTTTTATCAGGCTTTAAAGTACAGTTTAAAAAAGCCTGTTGAATAAAACTGCCGTAAAAGGCCAAAAATTTTGGTTGAATACTAAATTTAGAAAAATTCGAGCACAATATTCCGTCACTCTCCTGTGATGACGAAACAAAAACTAAATAATCATCATTTGCAAAATGGAAGTCAAGGGTGATATTTTCCTAAAAATTAACAGCGAAAAAGAAATTCTACGAACAAGACTTAGTCCATGACCAAAAGACACTGTCCAGACTGTGAGTTTTCAGTCGCGAGTGATATTCAGCGCCACTGCTAGAATCTGGACTTAAGTCGCGGAACTTGGCTCGGGTTTATATGTTTTAAGTTATAATAAAATTAGTAATTGTCTGCAACCAAAACAGCAAAGTACTCATTTCATAATACTGTTATTTAGAAAAAGGGTTTTTCAAACAACTTTGACTAATTTGAGCTCAGAAATGGAACAATTACTTTTTTTAAAATTACTTTTGAATTTTACATAGTAATTAATCAATTGGACCGTTTTTTAAATGAGAAAAAACGTGTAAAATTTTTGTTCATCTTCTTGTTCAATGAAACTAGATTACTATTTGGAAGATACTTTGTCAATAGATTTGTTAAGGAAGTAAAGAGATCAGTTCAACATCCTCTTCCCTGAAAAGGCCAATCTAGGATGCTCTAGCCCACGTTGTCTGTAAAATACTCACCTCTCATTGGCTGAAAATTCCAACTAACTGCCAATTTCACATCCATCTCCCTAAACCGCCTCAAGAGAGGATGTTAATTTAGTCTAAATCTTCCGTTATACGCCATTGGAGTAACTCGCCTTCTATTATTTTCCATTTTGTTGATGAATCAATTTTGAAGAATGAATACATTGTTTTTCTAATTGATTTTACCAAAATCAAGGATCCGACACATGTCCATAAATAGTGAAGGGAATTTACTCGAATAGAAAAGAAGACCCATTGATTAACAATTTCAAATCACATGAGAGTTGTTGAAAGAGTAAAATTTCGAAATTTTGCTGTCTTTTTAAAATGTTTCTGAATAATATAAAATAAAAAAGTGGGCGTTTTTTAATTTCCTATTTTTCAGATAACCATCAGGTTTTTTAAAAAAAAAAACAAAGCTACCGTCAATCAGCTATTTTTAGTAAAAGATTATTTATTTTTATCTTATAAGCAAATCGGTGTTCGTAAAAAGGTCGTTGAAATTAGATTACGCAATCGTGTTATCTCGATTATCAGACAAACCTCAGAGAACTATTAAAAACAATTGGAAACTAACAAACAGAAACTGTTGAAAAAATTGTGACCGTGCTTATAAGATCTTTGTGGTTGATATTTGTTAACTTAAACAACCATTCAAATCTTCGCATCTTAATATGTAAGTATGCTTTTTTCACACCCAACTCATTTAATTTTCTATCAAAATCCATCCTGTTTTGCTCAAATCCTTAGTGTACATCTCGTTTGGAATTTTTTGGAAAAACCATTTCCGGTTTAAATTAACCAGAAAGAGTCAAAATCAGTGATTCAATCAAAATCAAAAAATGCTATTTAAGAAAAATTGATGCGTTTACAAAACAGTCCCACAAAAAACATACCAAAACAAAATAGTCCAAAAAATCAAGTAATGAAGGAAAAAAACAGTCCGATAATGATTTAAGATCGCCGGTGGGTTAAAATAATGCGTTAAAGAGCTCAAAATCATAAATTTTGTAAAATATAGAGGTTTGAATGCTTCTATGTCAACCAATTTTGGATAACTAAGGCGCAATGTATTTCTTTCTATAAATCTTGCTATTTCCTTCTGTCAAACTATCGATGCAAATTGAAATGAAGATTTTTATCACTGTGCATTTTGAGAAGTATCATTCCATCAGTGCTGAGAAATATCAATCCTTTTTCTCCTCAATCCTCTTTGATACCAAATGATCGGTTTTTTCTCGAAAACAAAGAATGCCTATAACTTAGCAAAATATATTCCTGAAGGAAGCATTTTGTTCCCACTATTTTCAAAGAAAATGACGGAATATTTGTGCAAGGGAATGTTTTCATCTTCAGACCAATTTTTTTGCTAGCCTCTTTTAGTGGACTTTTTAAATACTAACTGAAAAGTATTTTTGTACTGAGCTGCGCTCAGATTTTAAAAAAAAATTTAATTAATGAACAATTTTTGTAGAGTTAAGGGGTTTAAAAATTGCCAATTTTGCGAATTTGCGACAATAAACGCGCGATATTTTCCTGCTGTTAACGCAAAAGCTGTGATTTAGTCCGTCCTGGAAACCTTTCCAAATTGAATTGAGGCCTGCTATTCATTCTATTTTTTAAGTTACTCAGCAATAAATATATCAATTTGTAGTTCAAATAAATTGTGGACTGTCGGGAGCCAAAATTCAAAATCAACATTCATTTTAAAATTCATCGTTTTCTTTTAAATTGTAAATTTTTTAGATACGTTAAAGGGTAGTCAAAACATTCAGGGTGTCGCCCTTGATACGAACAAGCAGTCTTGTTTGGTTTTGAAACTCCGGTTAATTTTTGAGATATCTCTTTTTTCTTTTTTTTGAGTAAATATCCAAAATAGAAAGAAGAAAAACTTAAATTCAGAATAATTATTTTGAAAACTTTTTTAATCATCAACAAAATTCCAATGTTTTACAACAAAAAATCAATAATTATTCCAACAAATTTAAGTCATTCTACCAAAAGATCCTAAATATTAAAAATTGAGGCCTACACAAATAAAGCGCTAAAGTGAGAGAGTTTATAAGAAATTTTCATAAAAATTACGCGATTTGCAGTATTCTATCAAAAGCTGGATGAAGATATAGTAATTTTCTGTATAATTTAACCAGATTTATGATAAGAGTTTGTTATTTTGATGCGAGAAGCTTTTTTCTCGGACACATTTTCCTATTTTAAGACATATCCGCATGGTATATTTCGAAAGCCAATTTTGTCTAGACTAGGGTAGATATGAAATTAGAGGTCAAAAAAAGCTCTCAAAAAGCTACCAGATGACAATTGGTATGACAGGGGTTCGAACACTTGATAAACGACGCCAGCAAAAAAGAATTCGACCATACTAAAATGCTCTACTTTCATATCTTTATTCGCTGACATAGTTGATAGCAAAAACTGTTGCGATAATTTGAAGCAATTTACATCAATTAATAAGTTAAACTTCAATTTGCTGGGTTTTTTCGCCATTTGGCAGGTTTTTTACAACTGCTCTTTTTTGTTATAAAAATATAAATCAATAAAAAAATCAATGATGTCTGCTGTTTGTCAAATACACCTTGACGAAATCAAATACTTTGCAAGTATAGCTTGATAAGACGTTTTGACGGCCTTTGGAAATGGTAATTTTATGGCATCGCATTATCAAAGATTCTAACGGTGTCTTTTGTTTATTCAGTGTATTGTCCACTAAGTGTATTGCTCTATTTAAAGAAGCAAAGTAATAAAAACAACATCAAAAACGCGATTTAGGCATATCTATATTGTTTGTTTCAAAATGTGCTTCCCAATATTTTTTTTCTTCAAATTTTGCTTATTGTCAAGTATCAACAAACTAATTTGATAAAACCCTTTTTTAGGGTCATGGTGTGTAACGGGTAAAATAGTAATTTAACAAAAAACAATGCAAAAGCAAATTGAAATCGATTCTGAATAGAAACTTTAGGGGCCCCTTTTTGCGCTGAAAAGAATGACATTTGACAGAAATTGAAAAGATACTTCATTTCATTTTTTTCCAACAAAAGTTTTTTCAAACAAAAGAATTCACAAGCGGACATTTTAACAACAATGTTCTGATAACAAACTCAGAGTTACCTTTTTAAAAATGGACGTTTTTTCAGACTATATTTTTTCTGCTCTCTTTAGAAATTTTGGCTTTGGAAACGACGACAAGATGACAGGACACGACAGCCAAAACTCGACCGGCATTTGGGCGACTTCGAATCAGTCATCAGTTCTACTCGTGATGGAATACGAAGATGTGGGAGCTAATATTACCGATATCTTTTCCGAGTTTGATATCAGCTTAGCCGTCAATTTGTTGAGAGTGTTCATTGCCATTATCGGAGTTTTAGCAAATGTTGTTCTTTTCATTGTTTTCTTGTACTTCCCAATTTTTAACGTCCCTTCAAACCAGTTCATACTTTCACTAGCCGTCAATGATGTAATGTCACTAGCTTATGACGTAATCTTCATATTCATGTATTACGTAGCTCCTGCAGTTCTGGGGAAAATTCCATGCATGGTTGGAAGTTTGGGCATTTTGTTCGTGGTGATCAACTTGTGTCAGCTGGCGGCGATTGCAGTCGAGAGGTTCCTTTTCATCAGGCGACCTTTGCACTACTACGCTCTCATAGCAAACTGGAAATCACTCCTCATCTTCGGATCATGGTAAGATGAAACAATGTTGGCATCTCTTCTTCTTCTACTCACCCCCCCCCCCCCCCAATCAACTGCATTGGTACCTAGAAACGAATTGACACCCCTGGCATGAAAAAACTCAACGGTTAAGCATATTGGATCAAATTTACATTTGCATTTCCTGCAAAGGTTGATGGAATAGGGATGGGCAATGGGAGTTCAACAATAATTTAAAACCCTATAGCATCATGTTAACTGTGAAACCGAAGCCTTAAAATAATTTTATTTTAATTTTGAGGAACGATTTTGCGCCAAAAAGGCATTTTGCTGGTCAAAGCCTTCTAAAATGTGTCCAAAAACAAAAATGACATTTTGGCTTAAATTGTGAAGAATCAATTGATTCAAAATTAGCGTGAAAAACGAGTGCAGCCAAACTGATATTTTCGCCAGAAAAGAGTGAGAAAGTTAACTTGATTCATAAATACTTTCTTCCAAAGAATGTTTCCAAAAAAATTACTACACCGCAGCTAAACATATTCACCCTGGTGTTCTTGGAATGCAAATTTCTCAAAACTTTTGGAAGAAATCATGCGTATAAATACATTCAATTTGCATTTTTCTTGCAAAATTTTTTGCAATATTTTCATTCCGAAGAACAAAAATTTGAATACAAAAATGGAGAATACAAAAACTTGCAGGTCTCTCGCAAGATTAGGTATTCCTTTGCAAAAATCTTGCAATAGTTGCTTCGCTAGGGCAGTAGGGAGATGACATCTGGATTTCTATGAATATAATGTATGTATCTACAGTGGTAGCTCAACAAGCCGAAGGGCCAACAAGCCGAAAATAAGATTACCACTCCATCAAGCCATAAATTGTTATTGTTATGCATCATAATAACAGATATTCACTGTTTCTTATGCAATTGTTACGTATTTCTTATGTAATTTACGATGTGCGTGCGTGTGTGTTGGCAGGATTGTACCTTCGGTCGTGTTCGCGCCTCTGGTGTTCTGTCTGCAGTGTGAACAGATGGGACCTGGGCCTCTGTTCATGGCCATATTTGGAAGTTACCTCTTCGTCGGGTTCCTCCTCATCGCTTGTCTCTACTTCTTCGTTTTCCGATCAGCCCACGAGCAGATGAACAACATGATAGCGTCCTACCCTCACGTCGAAGACAGTCACGAAATCAGGTTACCAACTAGTTTAGACAATCGATTAACAAAAACAAGAATTAAATTTTAGAAAAAAGGAAGGGCGAAGAATTTTTCATGGGGTGGCGGTTTTTTGGGAGTGGAGAGGGGTGTGGCGTTCAACTGTTCACAGCACTACGAAAATCCCCAAACGCCACTTAAAAAAAAACATTTGAAAACAAAACAAAACTTTTTGAAAAAAAAAACATTTAAAAAAAAAACACTTTTTGGCGCACGCTCTTCCCTCAGTATTTAGTCAATCTTAAGTTTATACATCTTAAATTTATATGAGCGCACAAATCCGACATTTTGGCACAGTTTGAAATGATTCAGAATTGCAATCCAAGAATTGTAAATATTGTATAAAAAGCAAAACATTACGAAACTGTTCCTTTTATACATCCGCACAATCGTGCGTGCATGTCTCGGGAAACCGAAGAAAAGTTTTTAAGCATGGTACATTGGTACATTGAAAAAAAATAAATGAGACTGTTTGCTTCGTCAGGGGGTCTAATCCCTGAAGAAAGCGTCCACGCTCGCCGCTACTGCCTGAAAGGTAAAAATATTGAGCAAAAAATCGTAAAAACATAAACCTAAAGCTTAAAAGACAAAAACCATATATAACTGTATACCTGACACATCTTAAATTAAAAAGAGTGCTCGGATCAGAAAAACTAGAAGCATCTAAATCTTCCAAAAAGGGCTAAAATGATCATGTTAGTTGTAAATTTACAACTGACATATTTCATAAATAAATTTTTTAAAGATTTAGATGTACCTAGTTTTTGTGATCCGAGCATTCTTTTTTTATTAGAGATGTGTCAGCTATATATGGTTTTCTTTGTCTTTTAAGCTTCAATTTTATGTTTTTGCGATTTTTCGTTCAACAATTTTACGCACAAAACTTATGCACAAACCTCAAATCAACTCCGACTGAAGTTCCTAAGTTTTCCCAAAAAACCATTAGAACTAAACCATTTTAAACTTAAAATAAAGCACAAATCCAAAAACTCAGCCATAGTTTTGAGAAAAAGGCAAAAATCAGAAAACTGCCACATTTATTGTTAGGTCATTGCAAAAATCGAAACATGATACACTGCAGGTTTTGAGAGTTCAGTGATCTGAAATTTAGCTACAAAAAATTATCTGAACAGTATCTGACCTGAATATTTGGAAAAAACTGATAATTTACATTTGGACGCCTTTTCAAAAAATCTCTTCAAAACTGAGACATTTGAAAAAACTATTATTCAACCCTAATTATTTGTCTGTAAGGTCATATTGGATGATGTAGAAATGTTGATTCTACTGTATTACATACCATAGTAACCTGAGCATAAGATTGATAAGTAATTAGGTTATGCAGCACAGCAAACAAAGAAGCAAGTGATAACGATCCACGGAAGTGCAAATGGCCCTATCAGAACTGGGCAACTAGCGGAAATAGTGGGCTCAAATTTTAATTTGTTGTAGGCCTAGTTGAGAGAACTTTAAGTTTACAACCCCACATGACCAAAACCCCCACTTCTGGTTTTATGCCCTAATTAAACAGTCTCACCCTATCTTCCGGAAATCGTTTCCCGGCCCCTAATGAACGCAGTGAGCTGAAACTTGCAGGGAGCATAGGTAATGACAAGATACATCTTGTGTTTTAATTTGAACCAGTTTCTAAGGTTCGATCCAAAGTTATTAACACTTGAAAACAACACTACCTTAGACCAGAAATAGGCAATTTAAGCAAAATAATGAGCGATAATAAATTGATTTTATTGCAGCATAAGACATAAGATAAGAAACCCGAAAAAAGACCCCTGCTGAATAAAATGCATCCGGCAACTCCTTCTGGTGTTTATCGCCAATTCCAGGGAAAAATGATACTGGATCTTAAAAAGGGGATAAACTGTGAAGTATTAATGGGAAATGGATGGAACCTGGTAGTCAGGACCCCGATAGTGACCTTAAGTTGACCTTCGGGCGCTTTGATCACAAAAACGCATTGAAATAAACACCGGAAAAGGGCGTATTCCCCAGCCTAATCCTTGGAAATAAGAAACAGTCTTTTTACTAACAATTGGGAAAAAACTTATTTATTGGGAACTGAAGCAGAAGCTGATAGCCATATAGTTTTTGCATTGCAACCTTGGAGTAGTAGAAATATATCAAAATGGGCTAGAAAAATATTGGGTTCAATTAGTAGTACCACTGCATGAGACTTAAGTCACCTAAATAGTATAAACGGACGGGAAGTTTAAATAGCTCCCGGGAGGTGACTACGTTCCCCTGATAGCTAGAAGGTCGGGATTGGAACACAGTACACTTAAACCTTTCTACCCATGAAAAAGGTCTCCCCATACCCCCCGGGAAGTTGGAATGTTAGTGGGAGAATTAAATCAAAGACCTTGGGAGATTCGCTGATTACACATAGAATGGTTTGGAGGTTGAGATTTTGGCATCTACCGCATACCGTGTATCTTATAAGCGTGAAGAGATTGATAAAGGAAACCGAACTTGCCACGTGGCAGTTTTTACAGGGTAAGGGAGAAATTAATAAAAGATGTGCGCGCGGGTGATTTAAGCGGATACCAGGACTGATAAGTAATGGCGTGACTTAACTAAAACTAATTGTTGAGAAAGATTAGGAATTGGAATGTGCTGGATAGTCTTTAAATGTTGAAACAATTATGGCTAGTGAGTCGAACAGTTGGTTCTCGGAGTAAGAGAACAATGATAGCAGAGACAGCAGCTAACTGGTTCTCATCAAATTGAGAGCAGTGACTCTTGAAGCTAACGAGATCAGTTGAATCACCTCAAAGGAATAGTGATCCGTAGAAACCTTATTAACTTTAGCAGGCCAAACTGAGTATTTATGTAGAATTACTGTGTGTTGTTTAGATTTGATTCTCTAGAGAGCGAGAACAGTTTAGTGGAGTTGGGGAAAGTTAAATTGCAGTCAAACTATTGTGCTAAAAACTCGCAGACCCTCTCTTTTTGATTGGACTTATAAACTTTATCCTGCCACTCAGAGCCTTTTGAAATTAGACATGTATTCTTACTAATTCTCTGAATTAAATTAAAATTGGAAATTCTTGCGATTGTATTGAATAGACAGCCCTAACAGCAGTAAACAGAGGGGGCAAACAAAATAAAACAGTACAAAATATTTGTCGACCTCGAAATAATGAACCTAAAGAAGCAATCCCCGAAATCTTAAAAAAAATCTACATAAGTCGAGAAAAAATTGTTCAGTTCTTTTTATCCATAACTACAACTTACTGTTGAGCGACACTACTTAGCTACAACAAAAAAATCTTGCTCATTAGGCTCGCTACTCTTTCTTGAAAATTTTCTCGTTTAATTTTGATCAGGAAATGTTCTGATTTTTTTGGAGATAATAATTTTGAACTTTTTCTTTCCTTGAAAAATTGTCTACAACGTTGAAAGCTAGATTTTCTAGATTCTAGATGCTCAATTTTCTAAAACTATAGAAATAACCTGAAATATGGCAGGTAATTTATTAGCAGAAGCACAACCGCTGTTTTCCGTAATTATTTGAATTTTTTGAAACTTTGAACTTCAATTTTGTTTTAGTCACAACGTGAAACTTCTTCGTGGATATTTTGTCATCGTCGGGTCAGCATTTATAACTTACTTTGCCCCCATATCAATATTCATAGCTTATGCTATCAAACCGTCACTTCTGCCCATTCTGATGCAAGCACGCCACTTAGCTGCCATCCTTGCAACTGTGAACAACAGTCTGAACCCAGTTGTTTACTTCTTCTGCCAACGGACGTTCAAAGACTGTGTCACCAAACTGGGCCAGAAGGTGAGGAAAGTTCAGGTGCGTTTGGAGGCGGAGTCTCCGAACGGAATCAATACGTGTTACAACTCGTGTAATACAAATGAGTGTATGGAGCTAACTGAAGCGTACACTCGGAGGCGATCGCAGGATGAGTCTTGAATGAACAAGTTATGACCAAAAAGGAATACTACGAACAATTTTGAACAAAAAATGCTACCAGAAAAGTTACGCTTTCCTACATTTTTGTTCCACATGGAACAGAATTATGAAAATGGATTAATGATGCTAAAATTTCAAAAACGTCTGGAAAGGTCACATTTTATTATTTTTGTGTTAACTTTGGTGTTATATTCATTCTTATCTTCAAACTACACCCGTAAATTAAACACGAAGATTAAAAAAAGACTAGAAAGCACTTTGAAGGTGTTTTTCAGATGCCAATACTGTTTGAATCCTGAAATAAAAAGTAGATTAGACAGACTGGACCTTCGTTTCTAGGAGGACGGCCTTGAAGATGGTATATAAAGTAGAAAAAATCACTTGTAAAAGTTCTTTAATTACAGTATCAAATGTAAAGCTTCTTAGCTGGCCTTTTCAGTAGCTGTTTCCTGAAAATGTCTTTTTGAGTGTTTGATGTTGACGATTTTATTCTGTTGGGTACATTTTTTATCTAGATATAGGTGCTAAAAGATCTTTTAAACTTCTAATTATTTTTTGACATGTATTTTAGTTGTTTGTTTTGAGAGTGTGAGTTGAGTGTGAATGATTTTTAATTAATTTTTCCAGCTCCATAATTAATATAAAGACCCTCTGTTTTTTACCCTCGCCATCCTCAAAAATCGAAAAAGAGATATCATAAATAAATCTTAAGGAATTATTATGCAAAATTGTGATAGAAGGGTTCCTAACCTTAACACGCTGTTTTATTTAAATATATATTCTTAAAAAATATAGAAGCTATAATTTGTACCGAAAACTATTTTTTCTATGCTCGCTGATTACGCAGTTTTCCGTCATTCAAAATTATTTTTTTATTCACAGTGCTATTTAATCATAAATTCTATTATAAAATCAGAATAGTTTTCGTTGTGTTTTCTTTGACGTTTTCGGTTTCCTTGACCCTAATTGTTAACGTGTTGTCATTTTAGCCCCATTAGCCATTCGTGCAGTACGAACTTCGTGTAATTTGATGAATTTCAAGCAATTATAAATGTGTCACTCATTTTTGTACTTTCATCAGAAATTATCCGCAGCGCTTGAAAACACTTTTCTGCAGCAACCGTCCACATTTTCATTTTTGTCGATTAAATTCGATTATTTTTAGCGAAGAGATTAGTCAAGCGCCCGTTTTTTATCATTACTAATCAACAAAAAGTCCGAATTTCTTTTAGACCTCTTACTTTTAGTCTCTAACTTGATATCTAGCGGAGAAAAACAATTAAAAATCAATTAGGGTGGTGAAAATTGGAAGTCATTTTTAAAAGGTTTTTAAAATAAATAGCAATTGAGAAAAAAGTGTTATACAAGACTGCTCGTATCAGGGCGAAGCCCTGAATGTTCCGACTGCCTTTTAAGGTTTTTGGAGCAGTAATAACTTTAAAAAATTCAATGAAATAAAACAAAATGAAAAAATAATTTCTAAAATTTGAAATTTTTTATAAAAATCATCCCCCCACACGCCATATAAAGTACAAAAGGATAGATTTCGCTCCTTGTAACAAGCTAATTATGGCAAATAGGCTTCTTTTAACCAATTTGGAACGATTTCTAAGATGGATTAACTCTCCGCTTACGCGTTAATAACGCGAAATATATCGCGCGTTAATTGTCCCAAATTGGCCAAAATGGCAATCTTTAAACCCCCGTAACTTTACAAAAATGATCACAGGTGAAATATCTTTTCAAGTTTGAGCTCAGGACAAAAATACCTTTCGAATGATATTAAAAAATTCTGTCAAAAATGGCCAGTTAAAAAGTCGAAATTTGTCTGAAGAAAAAAAAACCCACCCCGAGCACAAATATTCCGTTACTTTCGTATCGAAAGTCGGAACAATAAGCAAAATTTTTGCGTCAGCTTTGTCAATTAATCTATTTTTGAAACTTAAAACGATAAATTAAAATTGGTTCCGACTTCGATCAAAAATAATCGGCAGGAAACCCGTCTTCAGTTCGGGATGACAAAATTTTTGTCTCAAACTTAATTGCGCAGAGAAAAAATTAACGATAGACTAGTTAACAAAAAGGGGTCGGTCGGTCTTACAAGTAGTAACGAGAACAGACATTTGGCTCCTTCTACAGGAAAGATTTCATTAAAACAAATGAAATACATCTACCGGCCAATTTCACTCAAAATGAAGTTTCTCTTACAAAAAACTTACGATAATGAACAAAATACATTTTCAAGTCCTATTTCTCGAGTGATAAATTGCAGAAGTTTTTAATAAGGGCTGAATTTTTAATAAAAAGCTAAAAGCGGAAAAATAAAAACCAAAAACGTGAAGAAATTACTTTGCACTAAGCTCAGCATTAACACAAAGAGGAAAGTTCTTATCAAAGTTTTATAATTAGAAGAAATGCGACCTCCCAAAACCAAGTGTCCATCGGAATTTTAATACCATGTGAAAGCAAGTGTCATGACCTCAATTTTGAAAAGATATGTTACCTGTGATTATTTTTGAAAAATTATAGGGGTTTGAAAGCTATTAACGCCAAGTTTTTTGGTGTTAATAGCAAGTTACTAGACTCTTTTTGTAGTTGGCATAGCGTGTGGGATGAAGTTTCAAAAAATATTTAAAAAATTTTTTTTCTAATTTTTTCGAAAACTATCATATTTTTACAATAGATATTTTCTAAAACTGTTTTAACGACCTTGAAGAGAAGTGGGAATATTCGGGGCTTCACCTTGACACGAGGTCAAATTGATGTATTAGGAGATAAACAGAAAAAAATTTAATTTAACGAAACAGCTCGTATCCCGTATATCAGGGGAAAGCCCTGAAGGTTCCGACCGGTTTTCAGGCCGGTTACAAAGTTTTTTTGTTGTAAAATTGACAAAATAATTTTTAAAAAAAGAAATTTTGGTTTAAATTTAATTTAATTCCATACACACACGCTGATGTTAAAGTCTAAGAAATGAGTTTTTGCGTCTCATATCCTAATAATAAGACCATTTGCGTCAATTTATTTTGGAACGTAATAACCCGATGTTTCATTCAGAATAAGATTTCGAAAAATAGCAATTTTCAAACCCTCATAAATTCACAGAATAAAAATGAAAATATAAAAAAATCCCAAGCATAAATATTCAGTTTTTTTTCTGGAAAATTGGAGCAATAAACATTTCTCACAAAATGCAGATACCGATGTCTAACGGATTTTTTAATTTTCGAAAAACCTACTCCGTAGCGGCTTCGCCAACTCCTGCTCTACGGTTTGGTATACAGCTGCAAAATCTTCGTTGAGATAGGAAGTAAAAAGGGCAAACATTTATCGCAAACAAAAAAGGTTTCAAGAGCTTTTTTAGGCAGATGATTTTTTGACAACCCCAGTAAATTTTTAAAAAGTAGTTAATGATAATTGATTTTAAAATATCTGCTCTTGCTAAGTTTTCAGTTTTATATACTTATATAAACATATAAATATATAAATATATAATTGATAGAAGAAAAATCAAAAACTCATTGATGAAAATTGCTTTAAAAATTGCAATCCTTTATAATCTCTGAAAATGGAAAGTAATTAGGTGAAAAAATATTAACAGTATGAACCATTTTTACACTGATTATCACTTCTTACCTCTTGTAGCCCAGTGCCGGACGAGTGAGTAAAAAATCCAAAAGTTCACGTTTCTTAGAATTTCAAAAAACAGCATTTTTTCCAAAAGTATTTGTGCTACAGACATACAAAATGACAAGTGTTCTTTCATTGCTTGTTTTTTTAGTTGAATTGGACCAACTATCTTCAAAACTGTTCAGTTTGACACTATCTTATTGTTTTAGATTGTGGATTCAGATAAATACAGAAGAACTTGGAAGTTCTCAAATACATGCAATTAATTGTTGCATGATGCCGAAAAAAAACTCGATAAGTTTTCCATAATTGCCTGGAAGTTTTTGATTGACACTTAAGCTTTAATAATTCGTATTTTCAAGTTTTTGAGTGTTTTTCATATTTTTTTTTGGGAAGGTGATCACGACATTTTTCAATATTTGTTTGTTTTTGTATTATAAATATCTGAAAGTTTTGTTGAAAAAGGTGAATCAAGCAATAAGTCAATTCCGACAATAATTGTTAATTATTCTTACAAAGTTAAATCCAAGAGTGACAAAAGAGGTCAACCCAGGGTGACAGACAATACCGTAGGTCAGCACCTGTCAACAGACTAATTAGCACCACGATTGACAGTTGGTGGATGGCTAGAACTTAAACTCTCACGAACTGAATTAGCACCATATGATATTTCCCCTTCGATAAATGAAAACTTTAAATGACCAAAAATACTGTTAGAGTATGATTGTAAAATTTTGCAAGAAATTGAAGAAAATTGGTTTTCGCTCTCGTCCGATTCTGACCCACTATTTTTGAATTGTCGTCCGGTTCTTTTTCGCTGCTGTTTATCGGCGTTAGCTTTCTTTTTGGCCCGTTCCTTTACTTCTTGAAGTGTTGGCGGTGCTAAGTAAACTCTTGTTTTCTTCGCATTTGGCTTCGTTGCCACAGCCGATTTCCTAAGCACAACTACGTTGTTTAACGTCAACGTATGGGGACTTTTCGATTTTATTTTTGAATAGATTAGTTGATACCTTTTCAAATTTCGGTTTCCGTTTCGCTGGTACAATGAGCCAGTTAGCCCTGGTTGTCCGCCTTGTCCCGCGGGTTTTGTGATAGACGGATCATCGTCTTGATTTCCGGCCTGTTCATCGGTTAGCTTTTGCGAATGGCTCCTGTGTTTGAGGTCCTAAGCGAGATCTGACCTCTCGCCCCAGTTAGTCTCGGTAGGATGTGGCATGCCCCTCGCATTCGGGTCAGCTTCATCTAAACAAGCATTCTTCGACCACTTCAGATTTTGGAGGAAGGGTTTTTTCATAAAATTTCTTAGGACCGTAATCGCTTCTCGACCGTGGTGCGCCTCGAATGGCGAGATTTTCAACGTTGCATTCTTTGAGAATCTGAATGCACCAAGGATTCTTTCGACAATTTTCTTCAAGAATCCGGGTTTTTTTTTCGTACAAAAGTCAAAATCGAGTTTTTAAGGCTACCGATGGTGCGCTCTACACATCCGGTTGCACGATGATCATTTACCGATGATTTTATCATTTCGATACCCTCCCCATTACAAAAAGCGTTTATTTCGTTAGACATGAAATTTGTTCTCTGGTCCACATGGATTTTCCTCGGTACGCCGTGGTTTATTATATAGCTTTTCAGAAACTTCAAGATTTTATCTGATTGGTTATTTCCTCAGAACATCGCTGACGGCCAACGTGAGAAACGATCAACCGTCACTAACACGTATTTCTGAGACTCGTTCAATTAGATAATGGGACCCCAAAAATCAAGCTGAACCGATTTGTTAGGTTTTTTTTGGCTCGGTTATATTTCCAATCTAGCTTTTGTTTAAGAGGGGTTTTAATTTCTTACCGGCAGCGGTACACTCCAGACAATTTTCGGCTATCGAGGCAATCGACCGGTAAATATAAGTGTACCAGACGTCTTTGGCGGCATCAAACATGTTAGTTTTCCTGTGGTGGAATGCGTGAAATTGGTTATTAATTGAGGAAGTAAGATTCATAGGTATAAGGAGTCTTTCATCCGTCCAAACAACATTTTCCTTCACATAAAAATCATTTACAAATTGGAAATTTTAACGGTTCATAGCCGAAATTTTTTTGTGGGTTTTTGGGTCTTTTGTTTTGATTAAGTCTCTGATTGCACTAAGTTGAGGATCGAAAACGTAATTAAACTTGATAAATTGTAAATCAAATAACTCAGGAACGGAAGTCATTTTGCTCACAATTTTATATCCGCGGGGTACAGTTGACATACACACATTATTTGGGTCCACTGGTGGAATTATTTCGCCTGTAAATGCCGAAGTTAAAGATATGGTTGTTTTGGCTTTAATTGATCTAGTCTCCTTGGTAACCGCTTTTAAATTCAAAGTTGATG